AGCTTTCTTTTCTTAAAAAAAAAATGTACCTGCATTATATGATGTCCTGTCTTTAACCCGTCATGTCCTTTTAATATAATAGTAGCCCTGAACCTGTTAAAAGCCCTCAGCCATATTTAAAAAAAAAAAAAAAAAAACTGTCCTCCTGCATTTCCAATCAGGTTTCCAAAGCTCAGCTCCTTTAACTTTGCTTACTGTAAATTAATCTTAAAATGTAAATGCTTTCTCAGAGATGTGGAGGAAGAGATGCTAAAAAAGACAAATCTAAAATATAGAGTTTCACCTATAAAGCACACCACACAAATAATATTCTGCATACAGAAGAGAAGCGTTTTTGGGCTTGTTGCAGTGAAAATATCTGATGATCCCCCACAGTGTTCTTGTTGGTCTCAGATCATATTTCCCAGCATTCCATAAAAGTTTATGGAATCTTGGCTTTTATGCATGAAGGCCCAATATGTGAGGTCGGTTCTTTTTAAACGGTTAAAGCCAGAGTCAACCATAACCTTAAAGTCCTATTTTACTGTCCCTGTCAACACGATCATCATCACATTCAATTAACTTTAAGAGCAGACCTAAACCACAGCAATACAAATAGCATGAGTGGTATAATGCTTTCAAGACATTTACATGGACATGAAAATGGATTTGACAGTCACTGAAGCGTTTGTTTAAAGGAACTTTTGGAGTATTAAATGGCCAATAAAAACAACTTGTCACTGTAGTGATTTACAGCACTGCAACAGTGCTGGTAACATATACTGGAGCAGCCCAAAATCATCACAGAGAATCGAGAGACACCTGTGAATGGATGTATGAACACTGAGCTCAGCAGTTCATGTAAATTTAACACCGCAACAATAAGGATTGTTAAGAGCCAGTAGATTGTTATGAGATTTAGACTGTGCATATTGCTGGATGTCTCACATCTTGTTACAGGATAATTTATATTTTTGTCAGATAAAGTGTCACTATCGCCCAGACAAGTGCACAAGTCTCCCAACAACAAGACTTTAGAGTCTATGCAAAGTCTCAAATAATTTAAGGCCAAGACTAAGTGAAGTCTCACTTAGAGACGCTCTACTGTTTGAGTTACAGGAAAGCTCCTCTAGAAAGTCATGATTATCTAGAAGCAAAAACAAACAAACACAAATAACTTAAAAAATAAGGTCTAAATAATAGGAAAATATTTCCCCATACTTATTCACTTTACTGTTCATAAGTCTCTAATTTGAGTCTCAAATCAATTCTTTTTTTTTGACTTGTGTGAATGGAGTCTCTGCGATCATTTGTCATTCATGTCATGAGCAATTAAACCAACCCATGAACAAAACTGTTAATATTCACTCAGAATAATAAATCAAACCCTAACTTCTTTAGACAGTGTTAAAAAAGAAGAACAGGGAAAACTAAAGGCCAAAAGTATCATAGCAACCTACCTTTAGTTCAGCTTCAACTATGTAGTTTTAAATACCACAAACATACAAGCTGGAAAACAAACTTGATTGACAAATTTGATGACATTAGAGCTTTTTAAAGGGTAAAAGACCACTTACAGCCCACGATTATATCGCAAAATCTGGCATCATTAATAGAGCATTTATGAAAAGAACTTCAGATTTTTCCAGTTTCTGGTAAATGTAAAACCTTTAGCTTGCAAAATTTACATGAACATGCATAATATCTTTAGTGCGCCCCAAAGCAAAACAAAAGTAATGAAATGATCCTCTGCTTGACGCATAACACAGTTATAATGTGAGGCTATGAATTGGCTTTCACTGTAAACAGACCGATTTATTCTTCCGGGATTTCTGGCCAACTCTGATACAGTTAAACACGAACTTAAACTATTGACCACATTGTAAAAGTCAGTAGTGCATGAAAACCAAATTTTCTTTCATCCTTAAACAAAAACATAAAAAGTAGAGATTAAAATACCCTCATGTGCAGAGAAATGCATGAATAGTTTCTATTATAGAAAATGTAAACCAGCCGAGATTTTATTCTATTTAGAGATGTTTTAAGCAATCAAATGTTGTCATTACAAATCCTTTATTGATAACTTTTTGGTTCAGTTTACATGAATCTAAACTGATGAATTAAAGACGGACAAGGACTAGAAAAGATGAATTAAAGTCTTCATAAAAATGCAAAGTATTACACAAGAAGGAAACCAGCAAGAATGTTTCGGCCAGTCAAACCATGAGAAATAATGCCCCTTGAGAGAGACAGAAAAGTATTAATCCTAAACCATTTCATCATGTATTAACATCTCAACCAAAACAAAATAGCCAAGGGCAGCTGATGAATTGCAGCAGTTTTTTCATTATGTGCACACGTTTCTCTGAATTGCCTGTTAAATTCAATACAGTCTTAGTCTTCAACTGGACATCAAAATATGTTCACCATAACCTTATCTTTTATTTTCCCCATAGACAACTCCAGAACATCTCTTTGTCTGTCTGTCTTCTATCATTGACCATAAAATCTAAAGTAGCCTATCTAATAATGGAATTTCCCAATAATTCATTTTGTGTCATTTACTCACTCTCATGTTGTTATAAAAGTATCATTTCCCATTTTTGGGTGAACTTTCTCTTTAATAGGATACGTTTCTAGAAACCTGAACATAAATTATCTGGAATATGACCAAAAGTGAAATTAAGTCTCGTTCAAGAAAAAAATACCTTGTGAATGATAACGTCAACATATTCATCATTATTAATAATGTAAAATTAGCATGAAACAAATTAACTGAAAACATTTCATTCAGCAGCCGATCGAGCTGATCCCAAAAGATGATGTTTGATACGGATGTCGCATAATAAATATAAGTTTTATGTACTGTGGTAAAAGTGCAGTAAACTCACCCGTGGTTGAATCACTGTTAGTCCACAGCTGCAGAAACGACACTAGAGTAAAACTCATCCATCCTTCCCTCAGTGTGAAGACCAGCCCCATTACCCAAAACTGCTCCATCTCTTCCTTCTTAAAAAGCGACTGAAAGTGAAACATAACCGCCTTCTCGTCCTTAACGTGTGTAAACCGGTAACGTTAATGTAATAACGTTAGATAAAACTGACAAAAATGAAACGCGCTCGTCTTTCGAAAGAAACCGTTGTGCTCCATAAGTGTAACTAATGATTTAATGACCCATAGACCCGCTGTCGATTCATATTTCAGCACAAAACTACGAAACTAGAAAGTCATAAACTTTTATACACGTTCCCAGAAGATATTTAACAAACCATCTTGGGGACAGCCATCAGTAATTAGTATTACAAACGAGCTTGTGGAGATTTAGTTGGAAATATAGGCCTAGCTTTTTATATATAGTGTATAATAAATATATCACGAAATCTATCTTTTAATATGACTTTTCTTTGCATACGAGTTTACACAATATCCAGTGATAAAATCCAATTTGAAATTAACCACATTATAATATATATTCAACATTTAGCCAAATGTGTAATCGCAAACTGCGGTGCAGAGCATAATACAAACAGCGACATCTGCCGTTCATCGGAGGCAATGTACACTTGCACTTCACACAAAACTTTGTCTGCAGCCACTGACATGACATTTTACAAAAGTTTATTTAATTGTATTAAGGTTTCAAAAATATAACATTTGACATTAACAAAATTGATTCTCTTTTGGCAAACAAATACACCAAATGTGTTTATGGTAACCAGATTAATAAATGGATGAACACAGAAGTAAAGATATGTTACATGCACAGGGCCTTGAAAATGTACCATTCAATCAGAGCGCTATAAAAACATCACAAATATAGAACAAATGTGAACAATCAATGATGCAAGATTCAAAAGGGGGGAAAAGCAAGTGCTGACCCTCATCTTTTGTTAAAGGGAGCATAATGAAATATAAATATACTGAAGATGAAGAGTAACAATACCTTAAAGGAACACTCCACTATTTTTGAAAATAGCCTAATTTTCCAACTGGCCTAGAGTTAAACAGTTGAGTTTTATCGTTTTCTAATCCATTCAGCCGATCTCCGGGTCTGGCGGCAGCACTTTTAGCTGTAGCTTAGCATAGATCATTGAATCTGATTAGACCGTTAGCATCTCGCTCAAAAATGACCAAAGAGTTTCGATATTTTTCCTATTTAAAACTTGACTCTTCTGTAGTTACATCGTGTACTAAGACTGACGGAAAATGAAAAGTTGTGATTTTCTAGGCCGATATGGCTAGGAACTATACTCTCATTCCGGCGTAATAATCAAGGAACTTTGCTGCCGTACTATGGGTGCAGCAGGCGCAATGATATTACGCAGCGCCTGAAAATAGTCCCCAGCTAGGTAACTTCCAACGTGACCGGCACTTAAGTTTGTGTAGTTGGTTATGTTGACGGAATTTAGCCTATTTTCAGGCGCTGCGTATTATCTTTAAATAAAATTGGTTACAATATCCTTTTGGTCACATTGGGGAACAAACTTAAAAAAAAAAAAAAAAAAAAAAATACATAATAATAATAATAATAATAATATATATATATATATATATATAATAAAAGTGAATTAATTTATTTCTCGTCTGAAATAATTTCATAATTTTCACATAACTGAAATGCACTTTCTACTGTAAGAATACTGTGATTTGACATGCAAGAAGATGCAGTGGAGATCATAATTAGAGAATCTATTAATTCTTGATTTTTTTCTGAAATATTGTCAATCTTCATCACTCAAAATATAAAGGAATATTAGCTGCAGGTTTGACAAAACCCAGGCATTTCAACAAAAACTAAAACTCAACTGTTTAACTCTAGGGGAGTTGGAAAATGAGCCTATTTTCAAAAATAGTGGAGTGTTCCTTTAAACGTTTACTCAAGTCCCCACCATGATTTTGAAGTCTCATCACATTCTAGTACGCAGGTACATACACACAAACAAAATTCTCAGATTATGTGAATGATTGTTATGTATAAGGAATATGCAAATGTTACTTAGAATGTGACTGGGATTTCAATTGGAAATAAAGTGCAGCACTTGGCTGTAAAGTAAGGCCTTGAGTGGCATACAGCACTAATCCCCCATGTATCAGACCTTTCGAAGAAGCAGCATATTGTCTCTTGGTCTCCTCACACACACATACCCAAAGGTATTGAGAAGATGATGTTGTGTGTCGCACTAATCCTTGAATTCCAAGAACTGCTGAAGCCTTTTTCTATGTTCTGTTGAAATATTCACAGCACTGTAAACAAAGAAAATTAACAATATGATTGAGGATAAACATGTATTTTATTAAATACAGCAGGTTCCCAAAACAGTTTATTTTTTCTCAGAAAGACATTACTGCAAATAACGACGGGACTTACTTTAAGTGCTCTCCAAAAGTGGTAGTTATCTTGTAGATGGCAGTCTTCAGCGCAGCCCTCAGCGCAAACCTTAGAGTTTTGTAGGTGGAGTCTCCCATACTGCAGATAGTCCTCACAGGTTTGCTGGAGGCATGTGGCAGTTTGAAGTGTCTGTCAACAGCCTATAATTAAAAATGCAAGATTAACCAAATGAATCAGCTTGTTGTCTCCATTTGGATTCCTAGACTATCAGTTTTAACACTTGTGGAAAAATGACTTGTTTTACCTCTAGCAAGACTACCAAGCAGCTAAGAATATTGGGTAATGTGGTCTGCACAACTCCAAACTGATCCTCAGAGAAAGAGGCTGCCACCAGATGCGATAGTCCTTAAAAACAGAAGTAACAAAAGGCAAAATATATTATTCAAACAAATATACATGTAAAATGGCATTTCTGAAAAGTTAGTTACTATTTTCTGACCTTGGAGAGCCCAGATATGAGCCTGGCTGTCAGCAAACAGAGCTTGGCTAGAGGCTTCTGGAAGCTGTACATTAGAAGAAAATATTTGACTATGGGGGGAATATAAAGGAATATTAGCTGCAGGTTTGACAAAACCCAGGCATTTCAACAAAAACTTTTATTTTGTGGAAAACAGTGATCAAAATTAGAGAACAGTAACCACTGTAGCACGAAAGATTACTACTAACATTTTTAATGGTTACAGCTGTCAGAAATTGTGTAGTGTACAGGCCCCAGCTTTGAATGAGTTCAGCACATCTGCGGCAGCAAGATATGCTAGTTTCTCACACTGCACTGGTGTGATCTAGGTCCACTCTTCTTCCAGTCTCTTCCACAGTTCTGTGACTGTAGTGCATAGGCCTTCAACCCTGCTCCTGGGGACCCACGGGCTGCATCCAAAAACTTAGGCAGCTGACTTGCTGCCGTATGCGGCAATGACTTTGCAGACAGCGTTTTTGCACGAAGGCACCTCATGAAACTGTTTTCGGACAGGCTTCTGAGGCAATGTAACGGTTTAATGATCTACAACAAAATAGAACGAGTTTTTGTGGTAACTAAACGAATATTTGTGACCCTGGACCACAAAACCAGTCTTAAGTCGCTGGGGTACATTTGTAGCAATAGCCAAAAATACATTGTATGGGTCAAAATTACTGATTTTTCTTTTATGCCAAAAATCATTAGGGTATTAAGTAAAGATTATGTTCCATGAAGATATTTTGTAAATTTCCTACTGTAAATATATTAGAACTATAAAAAAATTTGGACAACTTTAAAGGCGATTTTCTCAATATTTTGATTTTTTGCACCCTCAGATTCCAGATTTTCAAATAGTTGTATCTCGGCCAAATATTGTCCTAACAAACCATACATCAATGGAAAGCTTATTTATTCAGCTTTCAAATGATGTATAAATCTCAATTTCGAAAAATTGACCCTTATGACTGGTTTTGTGGTCCAGGGTCACATTTAATTACTATAAAACTGATTTCTTGCTAGAAATAACATCAAAAGTGCAAAAAGTTAGCCAAAAATATACATTTACATACAAACTGACCACCAAACGTAACTTTCAGACACCATCTTTATTTTTTAGCTCAACCGTCATGGAATGGAACGCACAGGATTGTGGGATATCAAAGGCAGTGGAGGATACATCTATGCTGCCTTCAAAATTAGATCAGAAGAAGGTACCTCTGGAGACAGGAAGTAAAGCAGAATTTGGATTTGGACATGCCTTGATGCCTTCCTGTCTTGAAACGTTGCCTCCGAAGGCAGCATTTTAGAGTTTTCGGACGCAGCGACTGTCTTGCAAAGTTTCTTTCCAACCTGCTTCAACACACCTGGCCTGTGACTAAGTGATCCTGAAGACCTTGATTAGCTGGTTCAAGTGTGTTTGATTAGGGATGGAGCTGAACTCTGCAGGAAAGTGGGTTCCCAGGAGCAGGGTGGGTTTCTTAGCCATAACTTTGTCGCCAAGGATTTTACAGAGATTTTCAGGTGTGTTTAGATCAGGACTTTTGCCCAGCCATTTCATTATTTAAATGTTCTTAGCTTCAAGGAACTGGCTTTACCTGTTTTGCAGTGTGACGGTGGCATTGTCTTGCATGAAAATTGCTTTTTTGGGCGATAAACGGATGGAAGGAACCGCATGTTGCTGTAGGAGGTTCTGATAAACATTTGCATTCACCCTGCCATGTAGCTGTAGAAGAGGCCCAAGTCCTGCTGCAGAAAACATCCCCCAAACCATGACACTTCCTCCTCCACCTTTCACTGACTTCTTTACACACTTTGGGTTTAGTCTTTCCTCAGTTTGATGCTGAACAAAAGTTTCCTATCAGACCCAAACAAATTAAACTTGCTCTCATCACTAAAGTGAACTTTGTACCAGTTCGCCTCTTCACACAACATGCTCCTCAGCAAAGGTGAGCTTAGCTTTTTGATTGTCTGCTAATGAGAGGCTTCGTCACTACAGAGCGGGCTTTCATTGAGACTCTGTATGCCGAGACAGATCCTCACCCTGTTCAGCGCTGAACTGGCAAGCAATTCCAGCTGCAGTGTTGAACCGATTCCTCATTGAGAGTCTACGCATTATCCTGTCCTCTCGTGCAATTGTCTTACATAGACGACCAGAATTTTGGGGGGACTTGAATTAGTGTCAACGTAAACCTTGGAGGTAAATCTGTAAATGTTCTCTAATTTTGATCAGAGTTCTTTTTCAAGTATCTAATTTAAGTTTTTTTGTACTGTGCTTCAGAATACAATTAATGAAATATGGTTAGGACAACTTCAAATGGGACTAAGCAGTGACCTTGAAATTTAGGAAATTATATATATATATATAAAGTTAAAATTATTTCAGAAGCCCTTCACCCCCGACAGCCCAGTGAGAGAGAAACAAGGAACCAGTTTATGTAGTTATAGACCCAGTTTATCTACAGTTCCTCCAATATTATTATTTAATACTCTGCAACATTAGTGGATAAAGATTGAACTGATTTTGTATAAAGTAAAACTTAAAGCATGTACAATTCCATGCTTTTATTTATTTAAACTGTGTGTAAACTGGGTCACTATAATCTGACTCTACAATCTAAACACACAACCGTAGACAGAAATAAAACCAGAGAGACAGGGGAGACTAATGATGTTGGTGATAATTTAAACATGGGCAGAATCTAGACACATGCATTAATAATTCCTGTAACTAAAAATCTGTTGTGGGAGCATGCAACATACAGCTGTAGACAGATCCTTCATTCAACTAATGCATGCTTAATCTTACCTTGTTAAATAAATACATTATCAGCACCCGCTTTGCCAAAAAGCTTTTAACCTGAGCAGAACAATTGAGAGTATGACAGGAACATGAGTTAACAGGTGTCTCTAGGCCATGTAATGGTATCACACTGAAACGTGAACTGCCTTTTTCCCCAGCAACTGAACTGGACACTCAAAAGCTTGTCTGTTTTGGGTTCCTATGGATACACACGCTTGGAAACCAAGAAAACACTATGAAAAAATAAAGGACTCATTTACATGTCAGGTGTGATAAGATGAAGATGTTACCTGCTCTCTCCTGTTCTGTAGCCACTGGGCAAGGAAGCTGGGTTTCTGACTGGCTGCAGGAGGACTAGGAACAGTGGCAGGGGAGGCAGGAGGACTGCCACTGGATTGTGACTCTAAAATGAGAACAAAGAAATAAACTAGATATCAGAGTATACATTATTGTTAACAAATGTGTACATGCTTCTCACAAAGATTTACAAACACAGGGATACCATAACAATTATTTTACAAAACCACATACAAAAATAAATGCCTACAAACAAAAACAAACAAAAAAAATATAAAAAACAAGTAATCATAATATAAATGTTAAATAGTAGCTAATTGCATTTAAAATTAATTTCAGTGTAAAAAAAAAAAATTATAAAAAGGCTAAAATTAATTTTAAATGAATGTTGTATATATAACCTTTTACGTGTTGTAAAAATTATTATATTTATTATTAGAAATCTTCAAAGTGTATTATTATTATTTTTTGCAAACAATGATTCAAAATTCATTGTGATAGTTTTAGTCTTGCTTTCTCACCTGTGGAGGCACTCCACAGTTTGGGCCCTCTCCTCATGATATGGGGGCTTTGTACTGTACCAAAGCAGGGAGACTGGGGATCCTGTTGGCCAACCAGACGTCGAATAGCAGGGGAAGAGAAAGGGCTGTCCACATCTGGGGTGAAAGGAGCCACCAAAGCGCTGTTCGCACCCCCCACCGATGACTTGAAGACTGAACCAGGGGTCCTTAGCGGGACACTGAGTCGAGGGGTCTCAGCAATGTCCTCTGTTCCTGACACCACTACAGATAAAAAAATAAAAATAAAATCTCTCTCTGGAGCAATATGATTCCTCTTGTATGTTATCAAGGGCAGTACTAGACTTATGTTCAGATTTGGGATCAGATTTGCCTTTGTTGGACGTTATCTAAGTGGCCTTACCTGAGCAGCTTGAAGAGGCTGATCTGGTGTCACTGCTGGCAGACTGAGACTTGACTCGGCCGTTAGAGGCAATCGCATCCTGATGAGCCACCAGTCTCTGTGTCAGCTCACTCAGCAAAGAGAGACATTCCCTACTGATGGCATTCCAGTTATGAGCGTGACCACCTACGTACATATGCAGGTTACATTAGTTTAGCAGTCATGAAAGTAATGAGTTTAGAGTTCTCTGCAAGTAATTAGTTTGTACCTGGCTGACTCAGACTGAAGACTTCTAGTCTGCGTGAGAGAGAATGTTGTGATAACAGAGCCAGGTCTTGTAGAGCCAAAAACTGTGAAAGTCAGTTAATCAGTTAAGAAACTATAATATCTTTAAACAGGAATCAATGACATTTAGGATCAGTTTTCAGGGTTTCAGCACACTTTGACAAATTACTGACTTTTTCAGTTTTTGATGATGACTACTGTAGGGTATCAGACCGAATCAGACAATTTAAGATTCGATCAAGAACATGGTTGAAACACAAGGAGCCGAATTCCACAGAAAGGCCCAAGATGACAGGATGTTCGTAAATCAGATCCTAGCGCCAGCCAGTCTGAAGCAAGCCTAACCAACAAACTCTTTCACATAACAGCTTGCAACATTAACACAAAAGAACAACTTAGGAAGGAGATTGTCAATTTTGGGGCAAGTAAGCAAGATTGATGGTCAAAGAGATGCACAGCATGACCATCACATGTAAATCCATGATAGTAATCACGATCACGAGCTCTTTGGATTGACTTCCCCCCGTGCTGGGCGGTATGACCAAAAATTTATATCA